AAGTATTAAATGATTATTTTTAAGTTTTAAAGCAATATTCCCAATGCCTTTAACTTCAAAAGGTTCTTTATTTCCTAGCTTTACAAAACCTTCACTTAGGTTAGAAAAATCAGAGAACCGTTTGAGATTGAGGCTCATATGAAAATAACACCCTGAATAAAAAACCCAATCTTGATTTGTTCTTTCATAAGAGGACACATAAGCTACACCAATGTTAGCTCCTGCTTCTTTGTAAGAAGCAACAATGGCTGAAGAGTTATTGCCTTGATTGAACTCATTCCTTTGATCATTAGCCATTTTAAAACAGTCTTTTATAAGGTGACCTGTTTTTCCACAATAATAGCATTTTCTATTCTTATCATTAGCTTCATAAGTTTTTTTTTTGACATTTCCTTTATTATTTCCCCATTTCTTTTTAGCAAAATTCTTGTTTTATTATGATTGGCCTGCCTGAAATTGCTAAGACCTTTAGATTGAGGTTTAGGATGGGATTGAGATTTCTCAATATCAAGAACTTCTCTATGCTCTGATTTTAATTCCAGTTCTCTATTCTTTAGAGATGTATGAATTATATCAACGGTTAGGTCATCCCTACCATACTCTAAGGCATTATTAATATCCTTATATCTATCACCTAAAGTATTAATTAGACCAACTACTTTCTGATCACTTGAAATTTTCTCATCACAGTTTATAAGATCTTGAGTGATCTTATTAAACTTGTCCATATTCTCCTCTAAGTTAGCATCAAGATCAAACTTATGACTAAAAAAATTGTTTCCACAAAAAATATTTGCTTGGTAGAGTTTAGATACAGTTTTTCTAAGGCAATCCAGAACTCAGCAGCAGTTTTAGTATCTCTTACTTTTCTGATTACAGAGTCAGATAGATGAAGGAACAGTGTGCTCCAAGCTAATTCATGTTGTTCAATTTTCCTTTCAGGTGGAGTATTTTTTTTAACCCAAGATCCATCTATAACTTTAGCACATTTTAGTTGCAACATAAGTGCTCTCATTTTCTGGCGCCAGAAACTAAAGTCTCATTTGCCCATCCCACATCTGAACATCAATCTTAGTGGTTATAGTGTACAAAAGTGCAATAACAATACTCAAGAATTAAGAAGACATGAAATGAAAAATATCAGACAAATTAGGTAGATATACCCAAAAACTTATGACAAAGGAAGGACAAAAAATAATACAACTAATGTATGCACTTAAATGTGTTTATACTCAATAAACAGTATGTATTAAAAAAATGCAGATTACAATTAATATGCATACAGAAAATTCGTACTGTACAAATTGAAGCAGACTAAAACAACACACAGTTCAAGAATCAAAGTTTTGTAGTTTATACAAAGGTGAATCTAATCCAAAAAATTCAATCAATAACAGTAGTCACACGAACAAAAATATTTCACAAGAAGAAACAATAAGCGATGTATCGCTTATGAAGGTCCTTGACCAAACCCTAATTCTCTCAAATTCTAGGGGATCTCTTAGGAATCCCTAGACAAAGGTAAATATAGGAGGTTTTCAAGAATCTAAATAAGGCAGTATATGTTTTGAAAGAATGAAGAGGATAGTAAATATTTGTAACAAGAACTGCAAGATCGTAGATATATCCACAAAAATATTCGAATTGAATGATTTCTTGACCAAAAACAATTATAGATCTTTGCAGATCTAAAAGCCCCCTTTTTATTTTAAAAGAAAATGTTCAAGAGTAAAAAAATCGTTTGAAAAAGAAAAATTTAACAAGCTATGATGGTACTGTTGGTCCCAGATAAATAGATCGAATGATTGTTTGAGTTTATTTTGTGAAACATCGTAAAGAAGCAAATTTAAAAATAATAAGAACACAAGATTTTTCGATCGAAGGCCACGGAGGTTTAGCGACCACTTCTAACTCTTATCCTCTGTTAAGCATCCATAAGGATATTTGCTCGAATCCACTATAAAGCCCCAAAAGGGGCAAGAACAAGTTTAGTACAAATCTGCAGTAAGGGATTTAAACGAACACTGTATCTCGAATGCACATCTCATTTCAACAATCACTCACACAGAACATGAACTGCTTTACAAAACTCTCTAAACAACAATCTCACAAAGAAATCGCACAAAGATCATCCAGTTGATGACCCAAAAATATAGAGAGAATTTCCCTAACACAAAGAAAGACGAACAACCGTATTCGTACCACCCTAGAAGCACGGTTGCTTCCTTGTATATGAGTTAACTTCTCATAGGTCTCTACTACGGATTTTATTGCAAATAACGTATATGGGTATTATAATATGTAATACACCATTGAAAATTGATTTCACTCCTTTGATTTTCACACGGTCTTCGTTAGCAGATAGAATAATATATAAAGACAAAAAAAAAATATGGATAGTCAAGATTTTTCACTATAAAATAAAATAATGACTAATATGGATTTTATTGTAAGTAAGGTATACGGGCATTATAATATGTAATACACCATTGAAAATTGAGATCAATTCTTTGATTTTCACACGGTCTTTGTTCGCAGATAGAAAGATATAAAAAGACCAAAAAAAATTATGGATAGTCAAGATTTTTCACTATATAAAAAACATATTATAATCATATAGAACATTCTACTGCCGAAACCCCCTGAGGAAAAATAATCCTAAGCTTTATCACGCAAACTCAAGGATGCTCGGCTCTTTATTTGTTTCTCTAAAGAAACTCCCAATCACGTACGTAAAAGAGAATAAAATAAGAATTACACGCTCAATATTTAAACTAATTTTTCCTATGCAATTCGGCCCTAGAAAATGAGTCCCGACAGAAATTGTCTGCCAGTTTCCTACTTCAGAGCACCTCTAACATACTTTTATTGAAGAATGTGTGTTTGAAAATGAGTAGAAGAATGAGAATGAAAATTTTTAATATAGCTCAAACGAAGGCTTATTATATTTTATAGTTGAGAATAGAAAAAATTTAAAGAATGTTATCCACCATAATAACTATTTATTATGATTCTATGTAAGTTTTCATATACAATCTAATTATATGCGCCAAACATAACCATTTTGGTTAGGTACATAAATCCTCTCTATTAACTTACCAAATATGATATTTTCATACTTCAAACTTGGCGTGGCTTATTTAAATGAACAAATCAATTATTTTCATAAATAAGTTTGAATTTATTAATTAGAAAACAATGTGTCAAGTTTAGATAAGTGAAATTTGATTACTTAAAAAATTTAAGACGCACAAACCGTAAAATTATCAGTCATTTTATACCATCAAATAATCTAAGAGTAAAAGATATGTCAATAAAATTTAAACAAAAAGTGATGTGGTAGGAAATTTTGCCTATGTTCGGGTTTCAACTTTTACGAAACAGTTACTTTTTAAGAAACTGGTGATGAATAAATAAAAAATAATTATGAATTCCATGAAAATATATAATTAAAATTAAAGGTTGACTTTAAAAGTGATTTTTTAGTAAAAAATAAAATCCAAACAAAGTATTTGAAATTAAGGCCATGTTTGAGCCACCTTATTGTAGAATGAGAATAAAAAATATAGTCGTTATTAGGGCCCACACAATAAATAGAAAATTTGAATTTAAGTGTTGATGTGATGGATAACGGTCATATTTTTTATTTTAATAAGATAAAAAAGGTGGCCCAAACGGGGGCTAACATAAACCGTGAATTTTTATATTCAATGCATCGACAAATCCATCACAATTACATATATTATTATTAGGGGGTGGCAAGGAACCAAGTCTAGTAGACTTGATCCTTAGACACTTTAGATTAATTCGTGTCTACAAACTAGACTCGTGGACCTAATGAATCGTACAAGCCGTGGCAAATTCACGAGTCGACTTTTTATTTTAAAGAAATTCATAAAACAAACCCAAATACAAGCCAAAAAGGCCGATTCATGGAAAAAAAAAAATACGTTCAAAACGATTCATGACTCGTCTCGAAATGAGTTCAAATCGTCCATGGACTAGGCGACCAACTGCTTGCCAGCCCTAATTATTACAAGGATTAAATTGGTTACAGAGGGTCAATGACATGGCCTATTTGCTGAAATGATAATTTTTTATTGGTAGTTCTTTTTTTTTTTTTTTAACTGTGAATGAAATTTTGAGAATTGTGTATAAAGGTGTCAATCCGCCAACATATGAGCTCGGTAACGGCCCGCGTGAAAAAAAAGCCTACCCTCTACGGGTTTCGGGTCGGCCCACAAATTTTGGACTACAATCCAGGCCCGCCGCTGACCCATGCGGGTCACGGGTCGCGCAGGTCGCGGTTTGTTCCGATTTGGCCCGTATTATTTTATAAATAAAATTATAAAAATTTATTTATAACTTTGTAAAGTTAAATTTAACTTAACAAATAACAACTAAATATATTTCTAATTGCTATTATCAAATATTTATAGTATAAGTACATCCCAACTAGGTTGGCACTTCCCCCATTTTTCTCAAATTTTTAAAATTTTTTTTTACGGACCAGCTGGTTAACCGCGACCCTTGAAGGTGCGACCCGCGAAGTTCGCGGGTCACACCTCCTTGACCCGTGAATCGCCCGCTCGAGTCACGGGTCGTCCCGGGTCAATCCAGGTCGATTTCTATGGGTCTGATCGATTGGTCCGTCTTGACACCTCTAATTTTGTGTATCCGTATGAGACCCTATCATTACATCCAATCCAACATTTTTGGTCCCACCCCACAAAACCGAAAAGAAATCAACCTCTCTCATTACAATGTCTTAGCCTGCAAGAAGTTGAGTCCCTTCACAAATTTTGATCACTACTTGCGTCATCACGCCTATGTTTCTAGATAGATAACACGTGTCTCCCTATACAACACGAATTTTCTTTAGTCAAAAAAGTTCTGCGCCATTTTCCAGCAAATCCTTGGTATAAAAGAATGCATTGAGATTTTTCTCAACAAAAAACTACTAATTGATGAAGTCGACTCACAAGTATTCAACAATCAAGATGGAGGAATCAATTTGGCTATGCCTATACACAGCTTTCTCTCTCTTTCTTGTACTTCTGGTTTCCAAGTTTCTGTCAGCCAAAAAAAGCAAACTTCCGCCAAGCCCTGTACCGGCCCTTCCTTTCATAGGTCATTTGCACCTCTTGAAACAACCTTTGCACCAAACCTTCCACCATCTCTCTGAAAAATTAGGTCCAATATTTTCCCTCCGCTTTGGCAACCGGCTATTGGTGGTGGTGTCATCTTCAACGGCGGCAGAAGAATGCTTCACCAAGAATGATATTTTGTTGGCCAACCGCCCTCGTTTTCTCATAGGCAAATACATTGGCTATAACTACACAACTCTCGTCGGCTCCTCATATGGCGAGCACTGGAGAAACCTTAGACGCTTCAGTGCAGTTGAAATATTTTCTTCCAGTCGCCTCAACGTTTTCCTGTCCATGCGACAAGATGAAATCAGACGTCAGTTGCAAAAGCTATACAAGAAGTCACATAATCACTTTGCAAAAGTTGAACTCAAATCTATGCTCTCTGAACTGTCCTTCAACATTATCATGAGAATGGTGGCTGGGAAGCGATATTTTGGAGAAGATGACGACAACGACGAGGGTAAGCATTTCCGGGAACTTATTGATGAAGCTTTTGCACTTGGCGGGGCATCAAATCCAGGAGATTTTCTTCCACTTTTGAAATGGATAGACTACAAAGGATTTCAGAAGAATTTGGCTAGGGTAGGTGGGAAAATGAATTCATTCTTGCAAGGTCTCATTGATGAGCGACGCCGTAAACAGAGTGAAAATACCATGATCGATCATTTGCTTTCTTTACAAGATTCCCAACCAGAATATTACACAGATACAATCATCAAAGGGCTAATAAATGTAAGTCGCGATTGTTTTCCTCTGTCCTTCTGAACATGAATTAAGCGATAGTATAATCAAGGAATATCTTATCGTGGTTTATGAATTTGCAAAATGGCAGGTTATGCTAAATGCCGGAACAGACACATCTTCCGTGACCATAGAATGGGCTTTGTCGGCTTTGCTCAACCATCCGGAGAAGCTGGAAAGGGTTAAAGCTGAGATTGACAGGCTTGTGGGCAATGATCGTCTGATTGAGGAATCGGATCTGTCCAATCTTCATTACTTACAAGCAATTATTTCTGAGACTTTCAGATTGCTCCCAGCAGCACCATTACTCGTGCCACATGAAGCATCAGATAACTGTAAAATTGGGGGCTATGATATACCTCGTGGCACAATCTTGCTCGTCAATGCTTGGGCCATTCACAGGGATCCCACAATTTGGGATGACCCCACAAGCTTCAAGCCAGAGAGATTTGAAGTAGGAGAAGTTGGACCACCAAAATTGATGCCATTTGGAATGGGGAGGAGGTCATGTCCCGGTGCTGGCCTGGCCCAACGAGTGGTGGGTTTGACCTTAGGATCTTTAATTCAGTGTTTTGAATGGCAAAGGATTAATGAAGAGAAGATTGATTTAAAAGAGGGAAAAGGGCTCACTATGCCCGAAGCTGTGCCACTCGAGGCAAATTGCAAAGCACGTAATGTACTTCACAAGGTTCTTTCTGGTGTTGCCTGAATCGTTATTTGGATATTTGTGCTTCACGAGGCAAATTGCAAAGCACGTAATGTACTATGCATGCACTTCAGTTTTATAATCAATGTTTGAGAGATTTCTTCAATATCTCGTGCAAATTCAATGTTTATTTGCTTTACATATCAGTATATCTGCCGTAGAATAACATATATAGCACGTACTTACGTAGAAGACGTTAATATACTGAAATCAACTGTTTCTGCATTATTGCTCGATTCAATTCAATTCAAATAAGGACATCAAACAGTAAGGGCCAAGCTTTGCTAAATGGAGAGGGTCATGATGAGGCGATTCTCAGCATAATTCACCTCACGAAAATCAAGAGCCTGAAAAAAAAAAAAAAAAAAAAAAAGACGCACCTCAAGTTTGTAAATGAAAAACAGTCATCTTTATATATTTTATTGATAACTAGTGGTGCATCGTGCGTTGCACGATGACTGTTATAATTTTGTAAGAGATTTCTTTGTAACGACAATATATTTTAAAACAAATAAAGTTTAGTTATATAGCGTCAATAATGTGACCAACTGGATTTATCATTTGGGCCACAGTTCTACTATGGCTTCCACCTCTCCTTTTGCAAATGCTAACAATAGCCTGTTATTTAACAAACTAATTAACTGGATGAAAATTGATCCTTGGACTCTTGAGCCCAACAAGTAACATTAATCCAATTTGTAACTTGAGGTGCCAGTAGAGTATCTTATTTCTAAAATATCAGCCATTTATGCAATATATGACAAAAGTTGATTATAAGTAACTATATGCTTATGATGACTCGTAATCTTATAGCTTCAATTTCCAATCAGCCACAAAATTGTAGAGAAAGCTGATTCTTGTTGCATCAAGGGAACAAATCAGCAGTTTACATACTGGTTGATTTGTAAAATAATGTAAAACGCTCAACTGAGCATCTAAGTTCTAAAATTGTCAGCCAGAATATGCAATAGATGACAGTCAAGTAGTATTCTAGTAAGTAAATTCCGACCTAATGACCCATTGAGATCGTACAAATTTTAATTTCCAACTAGGCAAAACATTGGAAAGGGGAGAAAAAAAGTGACAAACTTCAATTGTTGCACCAAATTCTATCAAGAAAACTGGTTCTTACTGATATCCACTTCTTTCGAGACAAGATACATAATTTATGTTCTTTGCATAAATTGAATAGAACACCTAAAGAAAATTATGAGTACTAACAGATGTGCAGATGAGAAAACATTAAAACAGCTTCTAAGTTTTCAAAGTTGTACCTTGGCATGAATTGAATGCAGAGAAAATAATTTCAAACCTTATCAATCGGGTATACTTGTTCTGTATCCATTCCATATTATTCATTTGCATATAGAAACATTTTATCAGCCATCATTTTCAATCGTCTCTGCACATCAGCCGGTTGAAGTGAAGAATAGTGTTGTTGTTTCATGAATATTACACCCTTCCCACCCATCTCTATACCAACAATAATATGCGTGCCAAATTTTTCATTGAACCCGAAAGAAAAATATGAACTTATAACAAAGGAGGAACCTTAGAAAAACAATACATTTTAAAATATAACACAAAGGTAGCAAATGGTATCATGGATCCATCCAATTATATTTAATAGTATAACTCAACCACCTTTAGCTCAAAATTTATAAGGCTTCTTTGTAAATAATATATTCTTATATAGAATTTTAGATGATTAACAACGTAAAAAGTAGAAGGAAACAGTTTTTCATGTCCACATAATTTTTGAAAATGTAGTAGCAATCAGAATTATATGTAGCATATTTGAAGGATGTATGACAACAGCAAGAGGCTTGAATTTAGTTAGCGAACCGCGTACTCCTTAGCTCAGAAGATATATTTTCAATGAAAGGTACATAGATTGGGCAAGCCATTACAAAGGTGTTCAAGCTTTCTTAGTATTCAATCACCATCCCTTTTCTTCACATATAAGTGCACATTTGCCCAACCATACTATCAACTCCATAAAAAATTGAAAAAGCAAGATTAGCAGAAACATCACACTGCCACTGACAATTAGTAGGAGCTCCAAACATAAGGGTGCGCAAAGTACTTTCAACCACACACAAAAATAATCTACCCCTTCTGTAAACAAGGAATAAAAAGAAAAATAGGATTCAACTTTTCGAAACACCAATAGAATAGAAGCTCAAAAACATCTTGCAATCAGAATAATAGTAGTGTCTCCATTATGCTTAGTCGCTTATACCTTGCCAATGCAGCGAGCTCCCATGATGATGGGATTTCTTTTTTTTACGCGATCAGTCAGCACGATCTAAGATTTTTCAAGTGCAAATGTGGAGTGTTATGAACATTCCATTAAAAGCAAAGGTTTTTGTGTATGCTGCATCTTTTTGCCAACAACCAGAAAACTTAAACATAGCATTGAAGGGCCCAGAAGGAATTTCTCTTGTCATGACAGCTCCTAGTTAAATTGCTCTTTGTCTCCAGAGGGTAATTTGCGCAAAAAAAAAAAAAAAAATCATGAAATTCGAGATAAAAATATGTACAAGCAAAGAATATGTATGCATTTATTTATTCTTCCAATCTTCTTCTACTTTTTGTTGCATTTGATTGTTTTATTTTGTGTTTATGTTTGGTGAATGAAGAAAAAGAGAAAAAAAATTGTTTCAAAAGTTGTCAAAGCTTTACATGAAACCAAATTTTATATGTAACTATTTCACAACATTGTTGCTCCAGATTATAAGAATACACAATAATATTAACAAATAATTGCAGTATAGTAACATCATCAAGCTAGTACGGAGTTTACACCATTGAACATGACAAAGGGAGAAAGAGACATAACTATATATTTTAACAAGATTATCAAAACCACATTGATGCAATCACAAATAAACGGCTAGAACCATGTAAAATAAGACTCTCTGGAAGTCAATAACCAGAAATGTGCTCGATAAAAAAAAAATGAAAGAACACAAATTCTTAGCAAAAGTGGGTGCACACAATATACCAACCAGTCATAAGAAAAATGACATACAAGTCAAATAAATCTGCGAGCTTCCCAAGTTCTGGTGGAATATTCCCAACAATCAGTTTATCATTCAGTTCCCTGTTAAGCAAAAACACACTTTAGTACGATGATGCGTCATAATTTGTGATCCGTAAAAACAGAAAGTCCGTACAAGGCTTTGGAAGCAGAAGCTAAGTGCTCATTATCATTCTACAGATGTCTCGCATAAATGTCCACTGAGGAAACAACTGTGCAAGTTTATGCAGAAATGAATTGAAAAGAAGACTAATAGTAACATACAAGACTTTGTCCATTGGGTTAATGTAAGTTTCAAAAAGTAAAAATTGTAGAATTATTAAATTAAAACAATTGAAATATATCATAAAAATCAACTCCCCCACTACAAAATTCTTAATTTATTTTCCCCCAATCATTTTAGCTTTGAATTGAACCATATAATTCGATTCAAATTTACCAATTAAGTAAAACTATAATTTAGCTACGGAAGACAATCATTTAAGCAGAAAAGGGCAAATTGTGACATCCAAATTAGGAGGAACGCAATATATATAAATACACAAACCATTCGGCTATGTAAGCATGAATTTCTATGTATATATTATCTACTTACAAGAGTTGAGAGTAGTCAAGGGGGTGGATAGAGCAGAGGTGCGGCTGCTCGTCATTGCACGTGTAGTCATAGAACGGAGAAAGGGCAAAGTAATCGAATACTAAATTCTGATCTAGTGGGTAAGTGTTAATCATCATCGTGGAACAAAAATCATAGGATGAGAATGAAGTATCTCTATAATATAACAATGCTTAATATTGTGAACGTTAATGTTGACATCACCAAAATAATACTACTACACGAATTCAAACATCAAGAGGCCAAAAATTATTCCTGATGAAAGTATCTTTACCAAGAAAATAATGTTTTGTTCCGAAAATTCCTAATTTTAATAACACAAAGAAGCATTAACATATATCTTTAGCTTGAATTTGACAAATTTATAAATGATTTATTTATCAAAGAATTTCTCAAACTGATTATTTTCTACTAAAGCTAGATATGTTAATCATAGATTCACAATCAGACCAATTCAGAACCATAAGAAAGTTCACCAAATTAAAAAAAATATATATTTTTAACCCTCCAAAATACGCAATTAAACACACAAGAATAAGAAATTATTTCATGCATGATCCAAGAAAGTTCAATTTTTTCACCAAATCGACAAAAATCCAGAATCTTTTATTTTATTTTTTTTAAAAACACAACATTAGATTTGAAAATACCTTGGGAGGGTCCGAGGTAAAACATCCCAACCCAAACCCGGCCTCTTCCTCGATCTTTGATCCATTGTCAACTCTGTCACATTCCATCTCCATTACAGATCAATAAAAACTCTGTGATATAAAATTATCCAGAGAGAGCTTGAATCACTCAATTATCACATTGTCGGGAAGGAATATATATATAAATCTAAAGTTCACAAAGATGTATGCTACAAAACGAAAGAAGAAATTCGTTGTCACAACAACCATGAACCATTAATTAAAAAAAACTTGAAACGAAACCTTCAATCGACCGAAGAAAGAAATGCACATATTCAAAACCCTACCGAAGATATCTTCTTCCTTCCATATTGAAGTAATAAATGAGATCCTAATGCAAGAACTTGCACTTCATATAGTTTTCAGAGAATCGTGAGAAGAAATATAGAAAAGAAAAAGGAGAAATTTTGCAATGGTTGTGGGGAGGAAGTGGAGTAGGTGAAAATAGAATACATGGCAATGAAAATGACTGGAGAGAGAAAATGTATCTGTGAGAGAAGAGAAATGAATGAGTTGATGGTTGCGTGTAAAAACTAAATTAGCTGTAAGGTGGCATTTTAGTGGTTTGAAATGGCGTCATTTTAAGGTCCTTTTTTCTTTTGGAAAAATGACATCATCATAGCATCATAATGACTCGTTATGAATAGTAAAAAAGTTT